GTCCGGCCCAGCCCGGCCCTCGGCTTCCGCCTTTCCCGGCGCGGCGGCAGCGCTCGGGGGCAGGTGCGGCGGTGACGGCGGCAGCTTCCCGCAGCGTAAGTGTCCCCGCGCCGCGCGCCTCCGCCCGGGCTCGGCGGCTGCCCCACTGCGCGGCGGGGGCACCTGTTGGGCTGTATCGGGGGAGGCGCGGGCAGCGAGCTCGGGGCTTCTCGTCCATCCCGCCGGCCTGGAGGTTGTCACTCGAGGGCTGGGGCTGCTGAGCCACATCCGCGCTCAGATCTATGTGAGGACCTCGTCCGGCTTTCCGCACCCCCTAGGCTTTCCTCCTGCCAGCGGCTTTCCCAGCCCCGGGGCTTCCTGCTGCCGGAACACTTTCCCGCGACAGGGCGCATCTCCCGCCGGCGGACACCGCTTTGTTTCGGGGCAAGGCCGGCGGCCCAGAGGGTACTGCTGGGTACCGGCAACCCCCCCTGGGCGCGGGTCTGGCAGGAGAAGCCTGTGAGGAGTAGGCGCCCCTCAGGGCCTGGGTGATATCCCCCAACTTGTGAACGCAAGATGAGGCGTGATTTTATGTTTGTGTTTTTAAAGAAGTGGTGGAAGGGTGACTTAGTGTTTGCCTAGTGAGCAATCAGCTGGATTTCCTGGGGCTTCCAGTTTTTCTAGGTGATCAATAACTGCCAGTAAACGCTTTGCATTAAAGCCATTACTGCCTAACACATGCCATTAGGTTTATCTCTTTGGGCTTGAAAAATTTCCAGCTGTATGGTTCAGGAGACTAAGCAGGCTGTTAGCAAAGATGCCGTCAAAGTTAGCTGTTTCCCCGGTTGCTAATAGGAAGTAGGACCTGGCTGTCTTGAACTCTCACTTCCCAGCTGGCTCTTGGGGTGAAAACAGTCTCATCTTTTTTTTTTTTTTTTTTTTTCCTTCCCTCAACCTTTTTTCTATCTTTTTTTTCCCTGTTATAAAGGGACCTTCTTTTTCTGTCAGCTGTAAGTGCTTGAAGCTGCTGCTCGAACTTTTTCAAAACACAGTCATGGGAAACTGATAGGAGGACACCTAATAGCAGCAAGTGCCTCTACTTGTCCATCCAGGTTCTTTGGGTAAATCCAATATCTTTTTTTTTTTTTTTTTTTTTTTAGACCAACTAAAAGTCTTCTTTGTGAGCTGGTGGGTACAGACACCCCACTCTTCATTCTGCTGCTGTTTAAGGAAGCAGTCAACAGCAGTAGAGGAGATGGGTCTGTTTTTGTTTCTGTTTTTTGGGGGGGGGCAGGGAGAGGGGTTGCATGTAAAAACAGCCCTCCCCTTGCAACAGTTCTCATTTTGGAAAGAAATTTTAGTGACTAAAAGGGACAAATATATTTGAGATCTTAAATTGTTGTGGTAATTTATGATGAACTCTTTTTTTGCCTTTTCTGGTGCCTGGGATTTTCGGGTTATGAATGCTTGTGAAGAGACAGGTGTTATGGGAGCCACTCAACCTTGAGGTTCTTATGCAGCCATTTTATAGATGTTAATCTTGTCTTCTTTCTTACTGACACATTCTTCCTCCCTGCCAAATTTTAGAGGTCTACACAATAGCTGCTTGGGATTTGAGGTGAGGTAATTGTGATGGTGGCTCTTATTTCTAGTTGCTGTGTCACTTTTAAAAACAGCCAAACTATAATAAACAGTTTTTTGACATAGATTTTCCATATAAGGAATCACTGCAGTTGATATAGGTTGGTTGACTCGTTCTGAGTGATGTGAGGCAATTCATCTGTTCACAGACCTTGTTCATGAAATATGTCTTTGGATGGGGACCATCTGTAAAAAGCCCTCAGCACATATGCACTTCATAATTGATTTTTTGTGTGGTAATTTAATGTATGCAAAATAATTGGGCAAATATAAGCCAGGTTTATAGTTATACAAAGTCAGAAAATTCAGAATTTCACTTTCCACTAGAATTTTAATTGTGTTAGTTGTGTGTTTTATGATTGAGTCTCTTGTGTCTTGATCATACGTATGAATTATATAGACCTTTTTATGATTTTAAGTGAATTTATATAAGTGGGTTATAAACCTTATTGGTTTATAAGGCATATCATCTCAGTCTGGTTCAATCAACTTTTTGCTATGGTAATTGTGCAACTTTAGTAATATTATAGATGCTAGGCAGTATTTCATTCATATTCTAGGTCCTGGAACCATTTAATTTTTGTTCCACTCTTTAAAACCATACCTGCTTCTAGCACAGCGTAAACTCAGTAAATTTGTAATAATTATATACCATTTTCACATTAGGGGATCCTTGAATTTCTTGTCTCATTCATACAGTTAGGAACTGACCAACCACGAGAGACCAGATCAACTTGTATGCATCAGCATAACTTCAGTGGTTTGAATTCCTCATCAGTTTACACTAGTGGAGGATTTTGCTCTTCCTATTCAAATTTTCAAAAGTGGCCTTCAAAGTTGCACAATTCATAATTGCATGACCAGGTATTTTGAATCTTCAGTTTAGAGTGTTTAAGTTGCAGTACTTTTAAAAGATTCATGTTTGTGTTGAAGTTTACTACCAGGGCAAAAATATGTGCCTAATTCTGTTGATGATTTCATTTTGAACTTGTGCCTGGTTTAACTTTTTAAACTACAGACACTAACACAAAACATAATTTTATAATCTCTGTGGTAGAGTTAGAATTAGGGGTGGAACTGTCAGGACCTGTAGAGCTTGGCTTGGTGAGAGGGTAGGGAGAACAGGGTAGAGGTGATGGAGCTCCTTGGCCAGGGGTATGTTTGTGCTTGGTATGGCTCTGGGCCAGGAATATGTTGAGGCTAAAAGAGTTCCTTGGGTTATGTTAGTGGGGCAGCTGTGATTGCTGCTGGTGTGTGTGTTATTTTTCCCCGAAGTTATATTTGAAACAGTGTAAATTATCACGTCTAGTAATACTGCCACATTTGCATTAGATTTTTGGCAATGCAAATGATATAGTCTCAGGTGGCAAAGCATGAAAGTCGTGCTTGATGTTTAACTACAAAAGAGAAAGGGCTTAGCATACATGGAGAGTGAATAAAAGGGGGTCTGCATCCATATATTGTATCTGTGCCAAAGGTTTGTTATAGCATTGATGTAGGCCTTGTGACTTGGCAGTTTCTGTTTATAACATAATTTTCTATAATGGCAGTTAAGGAACAGATTAAGGGATTTAATGCTAAAGTACATGGTTCACTTTTAAGTTCAGGACCAGTCAAAGAACTGTCTTGGGTAAGGTAGTAGTTTATCACAGGGGTGTCAAGGAACTGGCCTGTGGAGCCATATTGTTTGGCCCCTGTGCTGGCCCTGGATTGCACGCAGGGCCAGGGACATGCACTGCATATACCACCTGTTTTGGGGGACACACTGTACCTAGTGTCTGTGCAGTGCTGGTCTTTGCCCCCGCTGCATTCTGGATCCAGTGTCTGTGGCTCCTGTTCTGGCCAGTCCAGGATGCACGTTGCATGCAGTGCCTGCTCTGGCTGGTCCAGGTCATAAGGCTTATACAGTGTAAGTCCCAAACTGGGGGGGGCAAGTGCTGAACCTGGTATGCAGGGTGGGGTGGGTCTGTCAGTCCCTCACATGCTGGATCCACTCCAGTGCTTGCTCCAGTTGGTCTGGGACCTGTGATGCATGTGGCACTGGCACCTGTGCTGGACTGTGTTAGAACAAGTGCCACATGCAGTGCAAATGCCAGATTAGCTGGAACAGACAGGGGATATGTGGGGCTGACCCCATGCTATTCATTTGGCCCATGGACTGGCAGGCCAGAGGAGTTTGCCCCTGATTTATCATATTCATAACTGTTTAGCAATGAGGGGCAATGACTGCAAATTAGTTGTTAACTCTTATCCAGCTTAATAATAATGACATACCAAGCTTCAGCTGTTAAGGAATGGCCAATTAGTACAGAGGTGGGCAATTATTTTGGGCAGAGGGCCACATACTGAGTTTTGGCAAGCCATCGAGGGCCGCATGACAGGCAGCCAGGGGCAGATTAATTTTCTTAATTTTTTAGGGGCCCCGTGGGCCAGAGAGAATGGGCTGGAGGCCCCACCTTGTTCGCGGGCTGCGTTTTGCCCACCCCTGCTCTAAATCCTAGCTAAGCTTGTGACTGAGCTTCCCTGTCTGTGCAGGGCAGGCGGTTGTAGGACTCTGATCTCCATCCCCTGCACCTTGGCTAGTGTTTTACACCAGTGCAAAGTGAGCGTGAAATGCAACCATACCAGAATGGACACGTTTTA